TGTGAGCTTACCTATAACAGATATTCAAGATCATGAACAGATCATGAACACATCACTGCAACTTGAGATAACCTCCACCAATTACTTTTGATTGTGTTTACAATAGCTCCCATGGAAGTATTAAGCCTTTATCTGAACTATGGCACACCATACTGCACATTTTGAAAATGACTGGGAAGAAGCACTTTAGCCTTTGTACAGTACTCAACTGCTAAGCAGATTCTCTTTTGGGGGGCTTCTCCGTGATAAAGCAATGCTGCTGCTTTATGGAACCAACTCAATGTGATTCTTAAAACAGCAGCATCTTTGTTTTCAAGGCTTATGCCTGAAATAAAGGTAATCTGCTTGGCAGAACAGCCAGTACATGCTATGTTTGCACGAAATCAAAAACACTTCTGAATCACTTTAGAAGCCTGCACTCAGCTTTATAATTAGGTATCAGAAACAAGGAATCTTTCTCCTTGATAACAAGATACTTTCTCAGACATTCTTTGAATTGAAGAAATATCACTCTAAGAAACCCTGGCATTTCAGCTCAGCTTTCCCCTTGCTGGCGAAAACAAGTAAAAGACTAAATAAACCAACTAACTAGTTTAAAGGCAGCTTCATTCAGTCATATAAACTATCCCACAATTGGTATGTCTTCCATCATTATGTAGTCACTACCTATTTCCACATAAGTTTCACAAAAAGGTTTTCAAGTAAGCATAATACTCAGGAATATTTTAAACCGAATCGCTGATTATTACAAGATAACTTTTTATAAATCATAAAGCTTTTCTTTGTTTTAAATGCATAATTTTCAGACAGTAAGCTTATCACAGATCTTTATGGGCCTAGCATCACTAAACAGAAACTGGAACTAAGAAAACATAATAGGTTCTGTCTAAAAGTTAACACATGACATATTCCTTTGAAATATCTGTTGATCTGTTTCCCCCATATGTTTACTTCATTTTCCCTTCTGGTTGAATATAAAATGGCTCAAATCCAATTCTTTGGGTTTTTGAATAAAGTCTACAATTAGACTGTCATTCACAAGCACTCATTTTCCATTAATTTAAAGTCAAATCTTCATTATATTTATTTGAAAGAAGTTACCATTTATTACAATTTCCAAGTATATGTGTTTATTCTGTGGCATTCTTCTAAATCAGTACTGTAGGCTACATAATTCAATCCTAACTATGTTTTATTTATAAGCAATGCCATTATTTTAAAGCCAAATCTAAGGCTTAGGCATCTGGCCTTAATTCTTATAGTCACAAAATGACAATAAATAAAAGTGACATATCATTTAATTACAATCAATAAAATCTAGTCTTAGAAATATTTGATAGGATTGGTACACCTTAAACTATTTTAACATAAAGATGCTATTTTGAAAATAAACTAATCAGGGAGATGACAAGTACATAAAAAAAAGTAATGTCACTCATTAGTAGCTTCATGCCCTCAGAAATTCCTAAAATCTCAACGATGTGTTATCACTAAACACAATTTAGAGATTTTGGGACCTTCAGAACACAACCATTATTACTAATAATTATATTCCATTGCAGGCAATATTATTATTATAATATTATTATATTATTCTGGTAAGTAGATAAAGGTTGCAATTAATACTTTAAACAGCATATTAATGGTGACAGCTGTGGGAAAAATAATATCTAAATCTTAACCATCCATTTTATGTTCTTGGAAGTAATCATTAAGTAATTAATAAGACTGGATTTCTAAATAAATTAATGATTAACATATTTTTAAAAGGAAATCAGGTCGCTTGTGCTGCTATTTTGAACTTTTTAATCTTTAAAAAATTTCAAGAGCATAGTTAATTGGATGAATTTGAAGAAATACTCAAACTTTAAGCAAAATAAAGATGATTATTATAGCAGTCATAATAGAGTCTAGGGTGGTACAACTTTGTAATATATTCTTTCTATTCCAACAATGATACAAAGGCAACATACACACCTAAATTTATTTTGCAGAAGTCTCAGTGAATTACTTACTCCCGAGTAAACCTTTTTGGGTTGTTAACCTTAATAAATATTTTAAATCTACTGGAATTCAAAAGTAAAAAAGGAAAACGTTTAATACTGGCCTTTGATTTATATTTCAGTCTTTCAATTTAAGTTTCAAAAACTCTCATTCTTTCCTTATAAATTCCCACCATCTGTCCCAGAAGAAGAAAAAAAGCAATGCTGCAGGAGAGTGTATATCCAGTTGTTAAATCAGTCCATTGTGGAGGATGTTTTGAAAAACCCTGAGAACTACCGCTTGTTTTTGCTGAGGGGGGGGAGGGAGATGGGGGAGAGCTGTTGCTTTTGTTGTGTCTGAGCAGTAGTGCACTTTTTAGTAACTCGGCAAACATCAGCATGAAAAGGATGTTCCTGTCAAGGCAATGAAGCATGAAATCCCACACTGCCTTTACACAGTAACAGCAGCCACATGAAAGAGCGACATGCAACATGTCACTATATATAATTACACAGCCTGGGGCGTGGATGAAAACGGAACTTAGTAAGGCTTTCTTTTCCAAACTATGAGGGCACGCACCCGCACCCCTCAGCCGTACGTTTGTCTCTTTGCATTCATTGCACCTCGCGCGTTTTTTTCCACGTTTTTAATATTTTCGCAAAACGGCATTTCTCACCTCCGATCACCTACACGAGTAGGGCGCACAAGCACGGGAGCGTTTTTATTCATCCACCCCCAAGTTTCTCCTAAGAACCGTTGCGCTCGCTCCCTGCCTGCTATCGCCTGTTCCTTTCACGTTAGCTTTAACGGGGGGGTTTCTTCACCGGACGCATTTAGACAGCGGGCACCAATTCGCTCCTTCAAAAATGCTATTTTCCGGCTCTTGAGCGTTTGCTGTTTTCAAAACGCTTCAATTGCCTCACGCGCCCTAATTTCGATTTTTACTTTTTTTTTGTCTGTCTTCAAGAACTCCCAGGTCACTTTATTCGGCTACGTCTGCAATTGCTTCTTCAGACTTCCCCGCAGGGTTCCTCCCCGGCACGCGCCCCCCCCCCCCTCAGTGCAAACGCGGATGGGATCTGATCTCTGTTACACTTGGAAACCTCTTGTCCCACCCCGCGCAGCCCCAGAAGCGCGGCATGGTCTCTTTTCCGCCCGGCCGGCCGCCCGGCCACCCGAAAGGCGCTGAGAAGCGAGGCGCTCGTTTCGCCTGGGTGCTCGGTCTTCCCCCGGAGGAATTCGTCCGTTCACAAGTTCTTTTTAGCAACTGGGAGAGTCCCTCCCAATTGGGGAAACTCTATGCAAGTTCCTTCAGTGGGTCCGCGTCTCCTGAAACCCTCTTCATTTCCTTTGAGGGAGATTTTAATTTGGGTTCAGTTTCGTAACTTTTCATTATGAATCTTTTGAACTAGCAGGACGGTTTGAAAGCTGATTTATATCCCATTCGCTAAAGCTAAAATGTGAATTATAAGCGGTCTTTGTTGATTGCATTTATCTTGCCTTTCCACCCCCCACAATCCAGGTAGGGGAGTAGATGGTAATTAACTGTACATTTTATATTCTTACCGACTTTATAGGTAAGGTGAGAGTTAGCTTATGTGCACGGCCAGGAGGCTTTCTTACTAAATTTGGAAACGTTAAACTTAGCGCTAGTGAAATTTGAGCGGACAAAAACATTTGATCCTCATTATCACAATCTGCATTATCCCATTTCATTAGACTTTTTTTAAAAAAAATATTGTCATCACATCTATATGCTGTATATGCTATACTGTACACATAGGCACATAACGCATGTGTGGTGTGTGTGAGAGAGCTTCACAATTTCACAAGCGCGTTTGATGTTTGTGGTGAATATGGAGAAGGGCAAAGAGTTCACCTGGGAATCGAGGAGTTGAAGGCGCCACTGTTTCCTCTTACCACAGTCATATAGAGCTATTATGGGACAAATACATCTATACAGTCATATAGAGCTATTATGGGACAAATACATTTTAAGGAATTTGGAAGACACAACTTTAAAATTCGGTTTAATTCGGTTTTACAGGGGGGGATTGTATATATGCTTTTGTTTTAAATATGTTGTGCGCCGCCCTGAGTCCCGCTGGGAGAAGGGCGGCATATAAATTAAATTAAATAAATAAATAAATAAATAAATAAATAAAAGACTTGAGCAGAAGGCAGATTTTTGCCCTCCGTTCGGTAATATTCAGGATCTGTTCAGGAATGCTGGCCAAAGTTTACATTACTGCCACTTCTCCATCCTAACTTTTGAGGCCTTCTGGGTTTTCAAATCTGCCGGCTTCTTATCCTTTTTTTTTCCCCCTGGCGTTAAAAGTTTAAATAAGCGCAGGCAAGACACGCCAACCGTCTGCGCAGAACGGCCTTTTGAAAAAATCTGTTTGCCTTTTGCAAGTCCGAGTGCGCGCCTCCTCTGCGCGCGAACGGCATCCGCGAGGCAGTCAGCAGGCACACCACGCTCAGAGCGGTTCCTGCCCAAGCAGGCTGTCCCCATCCAGCCAGGCTGTGCAGACCTGAAGGTGCCTCCCGGCCAGCGCCAGCCCGCCGTCCTCCCACCCCCTTTCCCCTCCCGTCTCCCTTGTGCGCGAGAGGCGCTCGGGGCTTTCCCACGCTTCCAAGACACCCGGGAGAGCTTGGCGCGGCCGCCGCTCCGGCGCGTTCAGCCAATGAAGAAGGGAAACAGAAGCGCTTGGCAAAGAGGCCTGTCACTCACTCCTCCGCTTTCTCAAGCCAGTGGCTAGCCCGGGGAGAAGGGGAGTGACTTCGTCGGCTGGGCGGGGCCTGGAGCTTGAGGCTGAGCTGCACCGTGGGAAAGAGCTTCAGAAATCCGTTCGATTTCTTGGCGCCGGCTTGGGGTGGGTGGGGGGTGGGGAGAGGCGGGCTCAATCCAGAGACTGTCCAAAAAGGAAAAAAAAAAAAAAAGCGCCTATTCACAACCTCAAGTTCTTGCTATTTTACCCCCTGATTTGGAAGCTGGACTGTCTCCTTTGGCTACGATGAAGCGACCTTGCGAGGACACTACCTCAGATAGTGATATGGACGAGACTATAGACGTAGGGAGCGAAAATAATTATTCTGGGTAAGAAAAAACACCTTTTTCTTTAAACGTGCCTGTTCTTTCTTGCAGTTCGGGGGTGGGGGGGTGGGGAGGAGGGAGGGAATTTAGGAGTGCAAGTGCTTCAGGCTCAGCGTCATGGACTCTGGCTGTTCCCTGGATGTTTGGGACAGGGACTAAGAGCCATTCTTGTCTTTCATCCACTGGGCTGCATGTTGCCGTATTCTGACTTCATGGCTCCTGCATTAAGATATACCCACTTCTTTCTTTATACTTGGATATTGTTCACTTACCTTCTGGTGCCGTGTTTCAGCCCGACCTCCAAATGCAGATGTTCATGACGACCCCTGCACAAGACTTGTTTGGGCAGGGGAAGAAGTAGTCAGGTCGCATCAGGTTTGATCATAGCCACCTCTATAATTATTAGAAAAAGAGGAAGCTATGGGTTCTATTTCGGAGCACAGAGAAAGAGAAAAAAGCAATAGGAAGAGGTAAAGTGGAAGGCAATTAACATCTTCAGTGGTAGTAAGGGAATAAGTAGATGCTATTCTGCAAGATCCTGTAGTAAAGGGCAAGGGTGCTCTTTCGGGCAGTTACTAGATGATGTCAAAAAAAGCGCTTGTACTTGAATTTATATCTTGCAAACCTTAAGTGACGTGCATTGCTGGAATTTCTCGATGGGGACTTGAGAAGTGAGAGGATGTATTAGAAGCCACGTTGCCAGAAGGTGAAGATGCTTATAAAGCTGACTTACATAATGCTTCAGGCAATCCAGACTTTTATCTTCTGTTTTTAAGGCTCTCTTTTTTTTTCAAGCTGCCCTTTCCATCTTTTATGTATTATGTATTTGTAAAGGATCTAGTGGTTTCCTCCACAGTGCCCTTTGACTGACAGTAGTTGGAGTTGTATGCCTGGAAGCATTCTGGGTGTATCTTCTAGAAAGGGTGGGTGGCAAGAAAATCGAGGAAAAAGGAAGAGATTTAGTTATTAGATGAGTTAGAATCTCAGTCTGATTATATTTTACTTACAATAGGAGGGACACTGTTTAGATAGGTGGAACAAGGCACGCTTCAACTCTTCTATCACTGCATGATGCTTTCATGCTTGTCTCAAAAGTCCTTAGACTCTGAGATGTCTGTGATCCAGTGACTGAATAAAGGCACCTAACCGTATTAAGGCATAGTAAGATGTACTTATTGAGTGCTGTCAATCAGCCTTGGAATTTTAGTAGGTTATTCAGCTACAGACATTAAAGTATCGCCAGTTCCCAGAAAAGAAAAACTGGTCACGTTTCCTTTATTTTCTTTGAAAGTGGTTCAGTTTAAAAAGTATTGTACTTGATGCCTGTAGCGTTGTAGGGCTTTTAAAATGTATTGTAATTAATAAAGAACCTATGAGAACAGATAGTAGCAAAAGTACATATAGTTGGTTATGAAATTAGTTTAATTTTTCTTCAGCTGGTAAGTATCTTTTTCTGAGTTTGCTGATAGTGTTTTCCACTTGTAGATCATTGTCTGACATTATGTAGTGAATCCAATTACCTTTCATAATGCACTTGGAATTAATCTTTATTGATTTCTTGCTTCAAGGCATCAGCCAATTAATGTTAGTCAGTATAATTATATGTGCTGCACAGGTTAGTAACTCATACTTGATTGCAGCATATTAGCTAGTGCAGATTAACTGGACAATTAGTTTTAATTAAGTTACTTTATGAAAGTCTCAAACCCAATTCAGAGTAGTCTTAAAGTCAGAAGGTAAATGTAAGTAGATTAAGGAACTTTATCCTAAGGGAAAATTTAATTCAAGTCAATATAACTGTTTGAATAAAGCCAAAAAAGAAGCTGTGCTAGATAGGATAAGAGAAATAATAAGGTGTGTGTTAGGGTGTGACAGAGCAAGGATAAGAGTTTATATATTCTCTAAATAGATGAATTACAAAAAGTTTACACTTTTATATATTTGTCATGTGTGTGTTTATTGCATCTTTACATTTACAAATTAATTTCACATCTTCATTATTTATAATGCAGAATTTATGCCTGAACATGTGTAAATTGAAAAAAAAAGTTCCATAGATTTCATTGAAATGTTCAGATTTCTACATGAAATCCTGTTCCTAACCTTTTATACCCGGATGTTATTTCTGTCAAAAATATATATACCTTGTATTGGTTATATATTTTGCTGTAGTTAAAATGCTCAGTAAAATATACAGAACAGGACTCTTATCTTTCTGAGGCCACAATTTCTGTATATTTTGTAAATGAACATTTTTATTATTTCTGCCATATATGTGCTATTCAGAGATGAAAGAAGGCACATTTTGGATTCAAGTAATTGTATCCTAATGCAAAACGCATTGTCAGCAGCAGCCTTGAGTCCTCTCATGTTCAGAATTTTAATAGTAGGATTCTTTTGAGTAAATGATCATTAGTTTAATTATTATTTAATGATCTCTCCTAATCATTGCCTGAAACAATTTTTTTAAAGTACCCTTTGTGGCTTGCTAATCCAAAAGAAATGGTGAGGGGGAATTGTTTAAACTTGTGTTTATAGTGTTTTCAGCTTGGGTTAAAGGATCCATTCGGAGAGTGGGGAGAGATTAACTCTTTGTAAGAAACAATGCACCAATGGGATCCAGCACCTGACATACCTTTTCAACTGTTTCTTAGGCCTAATGCCAGTTCTGTGATCCGGTCAAATTCTCCTACCACAACATCTCAGATTATGGCCAGGAAAAAAAGAAGAGGGGTAAGGAATTCCTTCCGCTGTATTTGCAATGTAACATTTGCAGTTGTGTAAATATTTGCTCTTCCTATAGTTTTAAAGCTTACATACACATATGCTTTTTGTTTTTATTGGAATAGATTATAGAGAAAAGGCGCCGTGATCGTATAAATAACAGCTTATCCGAACTGAGGCGACTTGTACCGACTGCTTTTGAAAAACAAGTAAGCGTAATAAATAAACAATCCTATGTGTCATTTTGTTGGGTCTTTCGTGGAGCTCATGAAAGACTGGATGTGCCTTGATCTGGCAGAGCAGGCATTTCAGTAAAATTCCCTGTTGTGACAAACCGATGAAAATCAAAACTCTCCGCAAAGCTGAAAAATATTTCCATTCTTTTATTTGCTACTCCTTTGAGCAAGAATGCCTATGCTGTTTCTGATTTTGTTTGTTTGTTTGTTTGTTTTGTGGGTGGACGGGGAGGTAATTTTCAGTAGCTCTTCCTATTGTTTTATCTGGTAAAGTTTTAAACCTATGACAAGTTCTCTTCTGGATAAATTCTACAGTAGAATTCTATTTTTTCCATTAATTTGTCCAGCCCAGTTAGTATTTTAAGAGTTATTATAATTGGGCTGGATTAAAAAAAAAGATATAGAAAAAAAGTTCTGATGTAATGTGTGTTACTCATGCTATATTTGAAATGACCCAAAACCAATATTTTAAATGGATTTTTTTCCCAAAAATATCATGAAGGAGGACTAATATTCTACTTTCAGAATTGTCCCAGTAGTCAAACAAAGTAAATATTTTCCTCTATTATGTGAACCTGCTGATTTGAAAGATACAGAGCAGAACGGGAAATAAAATGTTTAACTTGTTTTGCATAATTTTATCCTTACCTTAAAAAAAAAACCTTAAAAACAATTAGTTCAGGGCGTTTTACAAAAACTGATGCAATTCAGCCTTTAATTTCTGAGTACCGCATACTTTTCTTCAAAAATATAGTAAATGCCCAATTAAAATTATAATTGTTCAGAATAAAGATTTTTTGAAGTCATAATTATCATAAGGAATGAAATAACTTTGGATTTGAAGGACAAGTTTTATTCACCCCTATGACTTCCTCTCTATTCCCCAAATAATTGGTCATTAGCCCAAAACTCTACAACTGTGAAGAGGTGAACATGCATCTATGGATCTGGAATCAGCTTAGGCGGCAGGAATGGTTTATACTAAATATTAGAAAAGAAAACTCTTGATAAGCATTAGTTTGTGAAGTAAAGAAAAGAGTTATTTCTTAAGTATGGTAATTTTCAATAATAGCAAAGGTTTTAGGAGGTTTTTGTTATCTCGTCCAATTCTGGTTATGTTTGAAACCTCAGAAAATAGAGGATTCAACAAATCACCAGTTCAACTCTTGAAAATTCTGTCACTAGACAGTTTACAACATAAATGTCTGTGAAAGTTTTGGAAGACATGTCTAATGATAGATTTTCTGCCTTTCCCACAAAAAAAGAAATGCTACATCATACCTAGTGATCAACCTGCGTGCAATCAACATGTGATCCATGTCTAATGGATCTTTTGGAACTGCAAAATAAAATTGTTTTAAGACCTACTTCCCTTACTTGTTGTGTAGGTGTTTCATCTGGTATGCTAGGTAGAGATTATAGACTTGTATTCTGAAATATTTAGAAGGTAGTAGCTAAGAGAAAGATATTTTAAGAAATGTATGCCTTACTCTTTAAAGCTGCAAGGGTATCTAGGAAACTATAAACTACCATTAGAAATATTTGTTTCAGTTCAGAACACTTACTATAGATTATTTCACTTAGTGAGTAAACATGATTTTTACATTGTAAGTAACTTAATATCAATAAGATCTTATATCCTGTTTTTAGCACAGTCAGTTCATTTCACCACAACTTTTGTTTCCTAATTTTCTTTAACAAATAGTTTTTAACATTTTGTATCTAATGAGCGTTCTTTCTATTCATTGTTCTAGGGCAGTTACATTTTCTTTTATATCAGTGTTTATATTTATTTTTATGTACTTCTGGGAAGGTTACAAGCATCATAGAACCTCTCCATTATTTTTCCAGTTGATCCCATTTTAGTTCAGTTACTTTTGGCATTTACCATCTCACTTTGTAAGGGAAGTGATGCCTCATTAAGAAAGCTGTACCATTAAAAATATAACAAATATGGCCTCAGATCACTTTCTCTGTTCTTTGACTCAAGTAGAAAATGATGGCTTATTTTACGGTTAAAGAACAGATTGTATACAGAATGTAGATGTGAGAAATAAACTAATTATAGCGTAATGGAAAAAAATTAACAACAAATAAGTAAAACTGCCTTCCTGGTGGCCACACTTTATCTGGAGCAATTTGCAAAGGGGTTTGTTTTGGAGGTGTTTTGGGCCAGTCAAAGAAACCAGGACAAGAACCAATAGTTATTAGTTCCAATACATTACTTACTTTTAAAAAAATCACAAACATTGTAAAACAAGGCCTTCAGAGACCTTGGAAACTATTCAGGAAGAAGTAATTATAATTCTGCACTATATGAAAAAATATTAATATTGAGGACAGGATGTAGTTTGAGGGATATAGAGTAAACTAAATTTTAGAAAACAATTTAAGATAACCAAATACCAGCACGCATGTGTGCAAGCGCACATACTTTATAACAGTAAAATTTAATGTAAGTAAATAAGACCCTTTTGAAATCTATTTTTCAATAACCCGAAGCCAGATCATTATAGATGCTTTATCTTGATCTAAAATGGCTGTTATTAATTATTGTAATTGTATCGCTATGGAAAGTTGATGTAATCTCATCCAAAGAAATGTTGCATGTTTATTCTGTACTGCGGGTATTACTTGAATATTCATTTGCAAGCTTGTATGATTTCCATTTAGAAGAGAAAGTCACTAGTTTAACTCAAGCTTTATGAAATTGTACAATAAAAGGAGACAACAAAAGATACTGGATAGTTAATAGAAAGAAGAAACTTTAAATGGCATCATCACTAACGAGAACGAGTTATTTAGAACCAGTTTCTTAACTAAAGGTACTAAATCATTATTAATATCTAAAACATGTCAGATTAGGTTCTTCAGTTATTGGTATATTTAAGCAGGGAGAAAATGATCATATTAAAGGCTTTTCCCAGTTTGCATATGACCTCCAGAAAAATATGCCAAGACACCATCTTTCTTTGCTTGGATTCCCATGTTGTCCCATCATCTCATCCTATGAACGAGACAGGCTTAATCATGTGCCAGTGCTTCAGGTGTCTTTCCCCCTTTATTCCAACTCCTAAGGATTGGCCATGGCATATAAAACCAGTCTTGTCATTTGTGATCCATAATGACTGAGTAATTTGTTTGGAAATGGGAATTACAGTTTTTACCCAGTGTATTTTACTGCTAGCTCAGGGACAGGTGGATAGCACTTCATATCAGCAGTAGGGAAAAGCCCAAAGATTATTACATGAGACCTGTTTCTTTAAACCTGAATATAGATGAACAGATAATTAATTGTAGTTTAAAAGCTAATGGGTAGTTAGGGATTGCTAAACCCATCCTCATGCCTACATTCATCTGCAGCTGGGGAAGGGTGTAAAAATGGATGATAGCCACAACCATACAATAAGAGATCCACCCCTTTTTTGTGTCTGTTGCAAGTAAAAACGAAGTGCTGGGCATCTGCCACACATGTCCCTGATCCTGACAACTGTTAATCTGCCATCACTCTTTCTCCCAGGGACAGTTGGCTAATATGGAAACAGGTTAAACGCAAGCTTGTCCTGATTCTCTGCCCAAAGATTAGGCTAGAACTAAAACATGGGAGTTTCGCTATACTCTGGATTCATATAAATAGCCTTCCAATTGTCCTATTTGCACATACATTTTTAAAATGATAATAAATAAATAAAACTAGCTTTGGTATTGCTTTTCGTGGAGCTGAAGATCATCAGAGCTGATAGTTGGGCACTATTTGGCATGAAGTTTTCCTGCACCAGGAACGATTGTCATCGTTTACTGCAGTTCCCATTAGTTTCATTTGGTCATATAAAGAATCCATAGTGGATTTTGCAAATGTTTTCAGTATGGCTGTATGCTGATTCTGCTGAGTTTGATATTGGGCTATATAACTCTACTCTCTGTATTGTCTGTGCTTTTCCATGCTCCATAGAAGAACATGCATTATATATGTCACATTATGCAGAATGATATATAATGCTTGTGTGTAATAGTAAAGTCTGGACTACAGATGCTCAGTAGAAGAATTAAACTGAGAATGCTCTAATGGTTGGGAAAATTGAAACCATAAGATGGAGCTCAAAAGGGAGGATACCGAATCAAAGCACACAGTACTTCTAAGCCTTTATTGTTTGTGCCTCTTATCTCAAAGGGATCTGCCAAATTAGAAAAAGCAGAAATCCTGCAAATGACAGTGGATCATTTGAAGATGCTCCAGGCGACAGGCGGGAAAGGTAAGGAACTGATTTTCTAATATGAGCAGGGGAAACCTTTGCAAACACTCCTGGCAGTTCTAGATTAAAGGAGTGGAAATTGGTGCTCAAGGCAGGGTTGAACTCGTGGGAAAGAACTACTGGGACAAAAGCAGCACTTGACCCTGAGCTTGCGTTGGCTTTCATAACACTGTGGGAGAGTAAAGGCTCCATTCAGAGGCAGTCCAGTCAGAGATCTGTTTGGGGTTTCCAAAGAGCACAGCAATCGGCACAAGGGAGACAAAACAAATACCCCAAACATAAACAAAGAGGGCTGTGGCCACTATTGTGAGGCCTGAAACAAAACCAAATTTAAAATTCATTATGCAGTTGCTATACCACGGGAAGTGGATCCAGAGGAAACTTTCCGTATTGTTTATGCATTGCCCTTTGTTCTAGAAAGAATGTTTTCTATGAAAAATTAGACTGTGCCGTTCATAACCAGAACAACATCTAAGTTTGCATCTTCTGGGTGTGGGTTAGCTAAAGAGGAAACTTAATACCATTACTGGGAAAAGGGGGGGAGATCCACCATAGGTGCTGACTTTTTTGTGGGCTGACATGTTTCTCTTGTGGAATTGGGAATGGAGAATAGAATGTGAGTTTATGTGGATTTAGAGAACAATTTGAAAATGATTTTAAAATTCCTAAAGTTAAATATGTGAGGTGTTTTGAACATTCCACATAACATGAGGAGGAGGAGGTGGTGATGGTGGAGGAGGAGAAGGAGGATTTGTGAATCAGAGCTTGATCAGAGTCCTCATTATTTAGCACCAGTTTTTAGCTTTGATTGCTGCAGTTACATCTCTCTATCCCACAATCCTGTCTTGTTTGTCATAAGAGTTAATCAAATCTTATGAAGAATAGAAGCAAAACTAATAAACATAAAGGAGATATGCTTTGTCGATCTTTTTGACAATTTGCATACGGCAGTGTAAAGAATGCATCATCTCTGTGCAATGTTTACTGTATTTCTAAAACTGGGTATTTTCAAACTAATTATATTTTACTATGTAGCCCGTCTGTGAAAAAGGGGATTTATGAATTTCATCAGTCTAATCAGTAATCATTGTATTGGGAATGTTCTTATGACTCGTGGACTTATAGAAAATATGGCTATTTATCAGCTCATTCATGTGATTTCCATTGTTGCTAACATAAATGGTTGCAAAGAGTTGTATTGCTAGTTTCCATTTGCTATTTATGATCATACTGGGGTCTTTTTTTCCCATGTTGGAAAAGGATAGCATGTGTTACATATATTTGAAATTCCATCGTTCTAACCTCCGAGCAAACTGCATATTTAGAGTATAAAAACAAGAGGATTTGAAAATAAGAAGTGAAGGTGCTATATAAATATGTATAAGTGAGAAATTGGTTTTTTAAATGTATTTTTTTTTTGCTAGTATTTCTGGGGAGAGAACTTAAGGCTATGATTCTGTCGCGAGGGATCTATTATCCTCTATGCCATGCATCCTCTTGAATTAAGTAAACTTAATACATAGCTTAGTACTAATCCATGATAGTACATGGTTTGCTGTTTTACATAAAAAGTGACTAGGCCTATGCAACTGATTTGGAACATAGCTATTAGTATACAAAAATAGTAGAGTGACAAAGAAAGAGAATTCATTTTCAGGAGTTTATATTTTGTTTAAAAGAAGCCGTTGAGAATCATTTAAGCCCTATTTTTTTAATAACAGGAATGTATTTTTCAGAATTACTTTTTGGGAAGACACCTTAGTTTTAGATCTACCTCTTATTTTTATTGCTTTAATAAAATGTTGCTTGGTTGTTGTTTTTTTAATTAGAATATTTTTAAACAAGTAAAAGATAAACACGAAAATAGAAAATGAAGTTAAGAGGTAACTGCCTCAACATGCTGTGGTATCAAATTCTAAAGCTATGAAAATGGTCACCGATACTGGGTTTACAACAGTATTTCCTCTCAATTGCATAATCAAAGAAATAATACGTTATGTGACATTCGGTTAAGCAGTTCTGATTAAAGTTCTTATATAATATGTGAAGGCCTTTTAGATGACAGTGATAATGATGGTAAAATTTGTATTATTTAATAGATTCAGTGCAAACATTTAATCCAAGTCTAACTAAAATGAGTATTTATTTATTTATTTATTTATTTATTTATTTATTTATTAAATTTATATAGTAGAACATATATAAAAGCATTGGTATTTTTCTATTAGGCTTTTCTAGAAGAATGTTTACTTAAAGGAAGAAGTAGAACTCCTAAAATTATCAGACTTGACTATTGAGGCCTAGAGTTCACGAAGAAGCAATCGCTACAGAGGAAAGTTCCTTGGCAGTAAAAAGTCTATTACCTCTAGCGGTGATGGCCTTTGCTCTCTATTTGTTGCTGCTGCTTTTATTAATTATGGTTGGTGACACAATCAGCCAGGATTTTAGATTGGATTTGGCATTTTTATCCACCTATTGAGTCCTTCCCAAGGACCTGGGATAGGCAGATGTTTGAAATTGTTAAAAGATATTGTTGAAGGATGTTAGCTGTTCCAAGTAAAGCTGCCTTTTGTAGTTGACCGATGGTGATGTTGTCAGTGCGGATGGTGTGGTGTTCAAGTGGTGTTCCAGTTGTATTGGGATAACACCTGAGGCGGCTATTACTATCGGCACTATCTTTGCTTTCTTTTGCCATAGTCATTCTACTACTGTTTGCCGGTCTTCATATTTTGTGATGATCTCCAGTTCTTTCTCTTCTGTTCTGCTGCCTCTAGGTATCGCCACGTCCACTATTATGATGTTTTTGTTATTAATATTATTACAGGTGGTCCTCTACTTACAGCCACAATTGAGCCAAAAATTTCTGTTGTTCAGTGAGACATTTGTTAGGTGAATTTTGCCCCGTTTTATAACCTTTCTTGCTACAGTTGTTAAATGAGCCACTGTAGTTGTTAAGTTAGTGACCGGTTAAGTGAATCTGGCTTCCCCATTGATTTTTCTTGTCAGAAGTGATGACATGATCCCGGGATACTGCCGCTGTCATAAATATGAGCCAGTTGCCAAGAGTCTGAATTTTGATCATGTGAGCCTGAGGATGCCATAGTGGACGTAAGTGTGAAAAAAACGGTCATAATTTTCCAGTGCCATTGTAGCTTTGAACGGTCACTAAATGAACTGTTGTAAGTCAAGGACTTCCTGTATTCTTATATTCCAATGTTCCTTCAAGAGCACAAGTTACCATGCAGCACTATTCCTCCCACTATTTCACCTCACAGCAACCATCCTGTGATTCATCCAATAGATTCCCAGGACTCTGGGTGAACCTGAATCTACGCCATTTTCATCCTAACCTAGGGGTAGGCAATCTTGGCTCTTTTATGACTCATGGACTTCAACTCCCAGAATTCCTGAGCCAGCATGGCTGGCTCAGGAATTCTGGGAGTTGAAGTCCACGAGTCATAAAAGAGCCAAGGTTGCCTACCCCTGCACAATACAACTCAGTGCCTTCTAAATAGCCCAGTCACTTGAGTAATTCTGTATATCTGAACTACAGCTGAATAAGTGTGGAGGCTTTGCATGTATTGCCTTTACGCTTATTTTATTTATTTATTAGATTTATATTCTGCCCATTTCACTGTCTACCCAAGGCAGCACACTGGAGATCTCTTTTCATTTTATCTTTTCAACAGCCCTGCGTATATAAGGAGCAGGATTTTACAGCCAAGCGTTTCAATACAGGTCGTCCTTGACTTAACAAAAGTTTGTTTAGTGACCGTTCGGCACTGGAAAAAGTGACTTATCACCATTTTTACACTTATGACCGTTGCAGCATCCCCATGATCAGATGATCAAAATTTGGATGATAATTGCAGTGTCCCAAGGTTATGTGATCACCATTTGCATTCTGACAAACAAAGTTAATGAGGAAACCAGATTCACTTAACAACCCTGTTATTAATTTAACAGCTACAGTGATTCACTTAACAAATGTGGCAAGAAAAGTCGTAAAATGGGACCAAACTCATTTAAAAAATCTCTCACTTAGCAATATAAATTTTGGACTCAAATGTGGTTGTAAGTCGAGACTACTATACTCAATTTGACAGTGTTTATAAGTATTTGATGCAGACATGGGCTTTTATCAGTCACGGGGTCAAAAGTATCATAGTAAAAGTACAGTTTTAAATAAACCAAATAAAGATTTTTAAAAAATATTTATCCCTGAGATGACAACTTTACAAAGTTAATTTACAGACCATCTTCAGTAACATACTTTCAGAACTAAAATACGTATTCCAGGCTGTGCTTTACAAGAAAGACCAAAGGAAGCCTCTGATATTTAAGTGTATTTTTCCTCTGTGTTCCAGGTTATTTTGACGCTCATGCTCTGGCCATGGATTTCATTAGCATTGGGTTTCGAGAATGTCTAACCGAAGTTGCAAGATACCTGAGTTCTGTGGAAGGTCTGGACACGGCAGACCCTCTGCGAGTCCGACTAGTCTCCCATCTCAGCTCGTGTGCTTCCCAGAGGGAAGCCGCTGCCATGACCTCGTCCATGGCACATCATCACCATCCTCTGCACCCTCATCACTGGGCGGCTGCTTTCCATCATCTCCCTACGGCTTTATTGCATCAGAATGGATTACATCCCTCCGACGTCTCCCCCTGCAGACTGTCCACAGCCTCAGAAGTGCCTTCCCACGGCTCAGCTCTCCTCACCGCCACTTTCGCCCATGCCGATTCCACCCTCCGAGTGCCCTCGGCGGGCAGCGTCGCTCCTTGCGTCCCACCACTTTCTACCTCTCTCCTCTCACTTTCTGCCACTGTGCATGCTGCAGCAGCGGCAGCAGCTCAGAGTTTCCCTCTTTCTTTTGCTGGAGCATTCCCAATGCTTCCTCCAAGTGCGGCAGCAGCAGCAGCAGTGGCTGCTGCCGCAGCCATTAGCCCCCCTTTGTCTGCTAACTCTCAGCAACCCAGCAGTAATGGAAACACTAAACCCTACCGACCTTGGGGTACTGAAGTTGGAGCTTTTTAGATTTGCCCTTCAAAATGCCTCCTGCGATTAGAACAGAAAGCTCTTGCACGAAGCTTAGGTGGTGAAAAGCTCAAGGAGCCAGACGGATGCTCAAGACACAGAAGAGAAAGAGCAAGCAAATCTGCCATAAGAATTGTCAGGATGGAGGTTTTTCTACTTCGTTTGAGTCAGACCTCACTCACAGTGGTCTTCAAATGATATCTTATGTCGCCTTTAATGCTCTTGCTATGCATTTTTATTTGCCAGGGAAGTGGTGGATTGTAACTCACAAAATCTTCCTGAAAAACAAATGCTGTCCTAAATGCTTAAGTGCCTGTCCTGTTCTGAATAGGCAGTGTATTTATATGTGTTTCTTTGCATTTTTTTTCTAAGGCTAAACCACCGTGCAAACATGAAAATGATGCTGGGGAGGAAACAATAGAATTTGGAATCAAATAATAAGATCCAGAATAGGGATACAATTTCTGAATAAGTACTTCTACAAACAGTAAGGTGGCAGTCCTTTAGCATCAGTGGAACCCTACCAAACTAACTATGCAGAGTTGAATTTTAAGAATAACAAGGTTGCTGAGATTGTATATACTTAATCTCATCTAGTTTACTTTCATTGTGCGGATCTATCAAATGTCTGCAGCGTAATTTTGATACAAGCACTAAACTTTCAGTGTGGTTTAAGAAATTACAAGCCTCTGGCACTTTTTGTAAAATGCTTGGTGTCAAGTTATAAGCGTGCATAAGTTGACCACCGTTTCTATACTGATGCATTTTGGTAAAGTCACAGCTGATAAGTCTGGTTCATTTTTGAAAGCTGGGAAACAGCTTCCTTTAGATTAGAGTCCTTTTTTGTCACAGAAAGAGGTATGATTAAATAGCTACAGTTCTTTATCCTTTGGCCATTTTCTTTTCTTCCATTCAATCATATCTGATTGAAAACTGGCTTTCATTGGAGCTCAATTTGATTCTCTTTGATCATACATACCTGAAAAATTAGGGCAATTGTATTCCAGGAGATCTGGAAGGAAATAGACTGCCAAAGGCTGAGCTGTAGTATCAGCAACATGAACTTTTGGGTTAGTTTTTTTTGCTGCCATTTTGTTTTCTTTTTTTGTACGGGTTCAGTTCACAACCCAGAAGATGTAAGTTATGTTTTTTTTTTAATTACCCATACAAGCAGTACTATAAAAATGTTTTGCTTTGTTATTGTTATTACAGCAACATGAAATAACACAAGTATTTTTTTTCATTGACTCAAGAGCTAGAGTTAATGATGGGGGAGGGCAAGGTAAATGAAAGCACAGCATGTATTATGCACTTCATTTCTCTGCTGTGTGGAGAAAGCAATAAACAGAATGTTAAACATTATACAAATGTACTTTTAAAATATTTGTTTTAAAAATACTTTTCCTAGTTGGAGGAGGGGCAAATTGTTCATTATTTTGGTAACCCTTTTTTCTATGCAAAAGTTTTATGTATCACTTATTAAATGAAGTCTTTTTTTGACTGACTTCCAGATATTGTTTTGATGTGATCAGTGAAAGAGAAGAAATTGAATGTGTTAAAAGTTAACGCAAGCCCAGATGGTGGTAGTTTCCTTGAGAGGTTGCATTGTGTTACACAACTAAAAATGCACACAGTTTCACTTAAGGTTTTATTCAATTTAGTTTCTTATACGTGTGGTGAACTTGTGCTAAATACAATTCAGTATCCAAATCAATACTAACTTGGGACTAAATAAGTGATAAGCACACAATCACCTGTTGCATGTTTGCTGAATTGTTGATGCACGTGGAAACTACAGTGACCCTAACCTGGAATGGGAGAGTCATAGTGTTAGGCTGCAACTTTTGTTCCTATATTAGTCTAGACCAGGGGTAGTCAACCTTGGCTCTTTTATGACTCGTGGACTTCAATTCCCAGAATTCCTGAGCCAGCTTAGCTGGCTCAGGAATTCTGGGAGTTGAAGTCCACGAGTCATAAAAGAGCCAAGGCTGACTACCCCTGGTCTAGTCCCAAACCGCTTTTGCTTCTTCTGAAGAAAAGCAGCTGCCATTGATAACAGCAGTCTTCTTCTTGGGGGAAATAGCAGCTACATGGAGCTTGATCTGGATTAAGGGTACGGGAGGATTAGATCCAGTTTCCCTCTACTACGTCGTCCCATGTCCACATCTTCAGTCCAGAGCTGCCCCATGAGCAGCATTTGGTTGAGAGCTGCTTTTTAGCCTAGCTTCCAGTTTGTCTTTATATTGAATGAAATTGTGCTGAAACCTACCCATCATAGCCTAATGTGTTAATGGCAGCTCTTCAGAATCTCTACATCAAAACAATGACATCTGTGCCCAAAGGAGTAGCCGTGCAAAAAATAAAATAAAATTACAGTGTTCACATTTGTAGCTTGCAATGGATTAGCCAATCAAAAAAGAAAAAAATATATTACAAAAACTGAGGGCAGGGTTCTCAAGGAGTTAGAAAGCTATAAAAATGTTTCCTGCAGCCTCTAGGTATAAAATAATACTAGCTCCAACATTAAGGACTTTCATTTGAAGTGATGGGCTATATTTCTGCTTTTTATGTCAGTTAAGGAACCCTGGAAGGGATCGGAGAAGAAAATTATCTACATTGGGATATCATCTTGTCTTACTATAGAATATATTAGGTATTTGCATCTTGTTCTCGTCTCATTATAGGCTCAGTAATTCGTTGGTCAGTGACAGTAATAAAAGATTACCTGTCTATACTCTCACTGGCTGCAGTTCATCCTGACTCTCAAAGTAAACAACTTCACAAGAGCATGTGAAGAAACTGATTCTCCAGATGTCTATGGAGATTCTCAGTCATCCAGGTCATAGTTGTCTCAAAGGTGCTTTTTCCCCCTGAGAGAAAAAAAGACGTGTTGCTTCTCATTCAAGAAGCTTCATTAGTTGTGACTGGATGGTGGGGGGATGGAAGGATAGGTTCTGGCAGGATGGTGGGATGGGGATGGGAGGATTATATTTCTTTGCCATTTTTTTCAATTTGCTTTGATTCTCCAGATGTTGCTGAATTTTAGATTCCAGAGTAGTTTATGATTGGACATGCAGGTTAGAGTTGTTGGGAATCGGTTTGAACTTATGAGGGGTTACAGTTTTCTACTCTAGGTATAGAGAATCAGTTATCTGTTAGGAAAAATATGCTGCCCAGAAAGAGCCAGGAATTATTTTTAAACATTGGGAAAGGGTGCAAAATATAGCTTCTGGATTTTTCCCCCCCGTACATCTTCCCCCACAATTACCAAAAGGGGTCTTGTATTTTATTCTGTGTAACAAAATATCAAATGTGATTTTTATTTTTGAAAAGACAGCTGGACTGATTTTATTTTATTTTTTGAGGAAGAAGACGTTTCACTTCCTACCCTGGAAGTTTCATTAGTTGGATGGTGTTAGAGATGGGAGGACAGTTATTGACAGTTGACATTAGTTGGGGTGTGTGTGTGTGTGGGGGGGGGAAATGATAGATTCTGACAGGATGGGTGGGATGGAAAAATTGTATTTTCTAGGCAGTCAACTGGTCTTAATACTCTCCAAGAGCCATTGTAGTTACTTGGGGTTTTAACTGTGACCAAGATAGTAAGTGAAACGTCTTCTTTCTAAAAAAAAAAAAAAAAGTCCAGGTGCCTTCTGAAAAATAAAAACCACTTTTGATATAACTATGACCTGATGGATGATGGAGAACCTTCATAGACATTTATGCAACAAAATATTTTCTGTGTGCACACATATATGTGCACCTTCTCCCTAAAGACTATTTGAGGAAGATGATGCGTGTTGCATCTGTGTTTGAATCTCTGTTCTCGTGCACTGGGAGGTGCAGAGCAGGCTGCGTGTGCTCCACATGACCATCCAGGAAGAGGGAAGGTGACTTAGGATGGAGGAGTTGCTAACATTCTGAGCAGCTGCCCAACTCATTCTCCCATAGGGAAGCACTGGAATTCAATCTTCCTTTGATTGTCTTTTCCCACCGAATTTGGTTCTTGTTTATTTTGACAGTTATTCTGCTGATGAATGGATGGATAGAGTCCAAACCCTAAACATAATCTGTTCCCAATAAATCATTCCCCAACATATCAATGTTAGGGAAAGCATGGAATTTCTGGAATTCTTTCAATCCCTTCATCAGATGTGACCATAGGAGAAGTCTGTATTTTCTCCTGTGAAATACAGTAGTGTGTTGTGTCCCTGTTGGTGTTTATGTGTGCATTGGGAAGCACGCAGATGCATATGCTCCACTCTGGATCAGGGAACAGTTTTAAGATTGCCTCCCTATCAGGATGCATTAGAGGAGGATCCTTTTTCTGATTTGATTTGGATCATTTTCAAACTCAATCCTCCTAATAGCTTCTTCACTTAGACCAAATTCTGCCCCATTCTGTTCAATTTCCAGAGTTTGATCTGCTAACAGGTGGAATTTTGGGCCTGCTCACATAGCTGTGTTCCTGATGTCTGCTGAGCTGGAACAAATGAAAATGGAGTGATAACCAATGTCAGCAGTTCTTAGGCCTTGTAGATAAGTTATCTGATACCAGCAAGAATTCAGTGTATGTATATATTGATAAGAAAATAGTGGAGAAAGTTTAGTGTGCATGATGGAGCTAGAACTTATTCTGCAATGCTCCCAAATTAAACAAGCAGCAACAAATCCATTCTCTTCCACAAATAAAGGCTGGTTCTGTTGTTCTTTTGTTCTTTTATTTATCCTATATTGTAAGCAGCCCAGAAATTCTGGAACTGAGATGGCCAAGTTAACTAGAAATTTGGAAAGTTGCCCAACACTCAAAGCCATTAGACTGGAGAAGGTGCATTGATCATCACCGCAATATTGTACTAATCAACTATAAAAGAAAAAGTAATTTTGGTTTTTCTTCCTTCTGCCCAGCAAATGCTGCATAGAAATCAGAAGCTAAAAATGTGTGCAAACTTGTTAGATCCGTATGTTTTAATTGATTCTTACAATAGTTATATTGTTTAAGCATTGTTGAGGCATAATGAATGAAAACAGTTTTCTTAAACTTTGTTTGAAAAAGCACAAACAAGATATGAATAGGATACCTTTCTTTAAAAAAATTAAAATGCCAAAAATATAGCTGTAGGCTGCCGCAGACATGAAGGAAAAATGTATTTGTCTACTCCAATTA